CGCTTCTTTTGATGCGTCAGAAAATATTATATAATTAAATATTAAATTATTAGCTTAAATTTAATAATAATAATAATAATAATAATAACAAGTTTCTATATAAAATATTCTACTAGGCAAAGAGTGTGAGTTTTGTTCATTGCAACTTTATTTAATTAAATAATAATTTTGCGAATCATTTCACATTGTATTAATTTATTTCAGAATCGGCTATCAAAATTTAATTACCAATATAAAAATCGACATAAATATTACATATTTTTCACGTGGTAATTTATTTATTTATTTATTTATAACAACACATAATTAAAATCACAATTACATTATGCAAAATAAATGTTTCCCTATTATATTAAGATAGCATAAAACATTTGTACAAGTTTTCTTTTTTTTTTTCTTTACTGCTTTCTCTGTCTGAAAAATTTAGCTTTTTTTTTTTATTTTTTTTTATAAAGAAATGTGATTAAATTTCCCGAATGGAGGGAGTATTTAATTAATTAATTTTTAAAAATTCTATTAAATATATATATTTTTTATAAAATATCACAATTTGTGATTTGAAACTCAAATCACTACTATTCAATAAGTACGATTTTCAATAAAATATATTATCTTTTTCTTATAAAATATCAAATCAAATACTATTTAAACAAAAACTTAAATCAACACTTTATTTCAAATCAATTTTAATTTAACCACGACCAAACAATAACTTTTTACTACTTCAATTTATTTTTTATTTTTTAAAAACTTCAAAACTCTCTGTAAATGGAGCTTAATACTTTTGCAAATAATACTTTCTTTCATCTCATAACATAGTATTCATTTTTCTATTTTAGTCTGTCCCATAACAATATATCTATTTTCTTTTTTAGTAATTGTACTATCTAACTAACATTACAAATACCCTTACAACTTACAATATATTACACAAATGTCATTATCTTTTATTTCACACAATACTAATAAGGTTATTTTAGTCATTTCTACTTTATTCCTATTACATTCTAATATAATACTAATATTTCTATAATCCTGTCTAAAAGGCAAATGAATATATAGTTATGGGGCGGAGGGAATATAATAGGTGACCTAATAAAGCTCCAATTTTTATAGTGGTATCATTGGGAAGTGGCTGAGGCAATACTTTATCAGCTTTTTTTTTTTTTTTTTTTTCGCATTTTTTATTCACATTCAAAACAATTTAACAATAACAACAACAGTACTTTCATATACATATATATATACATAATTCATTTATTTTTTATACTTAAATTAAGAAATCTTACTATGTAGATAATGTAATAAAGTGTATGGACAAAAATGCCCTTCCAAGTACAAGACTCCATACTTGTGTATTAAAATAAAAGATCAGTATTGGTCCGTACTGTCACACATGATTCGGGACTAGTCTTGTGGAGCTTAGTTTGCAAATATTAGGTTCAATCGGAGGCTTACTCAGTGTATATTTTCGGATAGCAACTATAAATTTCTATGTTATCAAAAAATAAAATAAAATAAAATATAAGAATCGTTGTAATTGAATAAAAATTTAGAATATTTTTGTTTTTTTATGAAAATCACACTTACTAGAAAATTAATATATTTATTTGAGACAATAAAAAATGGCAAAATGAATATATGATGGACAGGAAGAAGAATATATGTATAGATATTGCTGCAGAAATTTGTAGCAAAAATCATCTCGCAAAAAGATTGGTTGTGTTCTTTAGTGGTTATGAAATTTTGAGATTTTTATTTTTAATTATTGAGAATTGTAAAAGTATTATTAAATTTTTAATTTTTTTTATTGTTTATTAGATATTTTTTTAAATACATTATTTATCTTATTTTCTCCCCCAAAACATCAAATCAAAACATTTATTTTTCAATTTTTTATATTATACTAAAAATCAATTTTACATTCAAAACATCACATCAACACCTATTTATACCACATTCTACAACTATTCAAATTCAAACACACTTTTACGATATATACTCCCTCCGTCCCACATACCATGTCCACGTTGTCATTTCTGTCCGTCCCATGTACCATGTCACTTTCCTTTTTTGGAAAATGATTATATACTTTAATCTCATTTTAAACTTTTTAATTTTTTTATTTTAATTAAACTAATTAGTTATCTTAATCTTAATTTATAATTATTTATATTATAGGATAATTATTTTCACTAATATATTCTTAATTATCTACTAATTACACCCCTCCTAAAATACCGTGTCTACAGTGTAGCAGACACTAGACGTGGGACGGAGGTAGTATTATTCATAAAGTAATATTAAAATATTATTTAAATTATATTCTAAATAAAAAATTTGAACTCAACCACAAACACAAACCAAATAAACTTTATATTTACTAATTTGTTAATGATGATTATCAATCGCTTAAATATCCTAAAATGCGGTTAGAAAATCCATATGTTACATTTAGTTAGATGGATCATTATTATATAACACTACAAAAAAATAGTATATTTGTAACGGAATTCCGTCACTAAAGATCACGTAGCTAACGTAATTTCATCATTAATTTTGTCTCTAATATCATTAGTAATGGAAAAAGTGAATTTAAAGACGAAAAAATCTCGTTACAAAAATAATATTTTCTTGTAGTGTAATGTAATAAGATGTTTAAATAACTTTTAAAAAACTCACATACATAAACATAATAAATAATATTATAAATTTTACAATGTATGTATATCTTATTTAAATTTGCAATACTATTTATATTATGATTATGTAAGTTATTGTATTTTACACTGTTATTAAATATTGTTACAAGAAGAATTTTCCCTTTTTACCTGTTTTGGCATATGGTTACATCTCATTCTTGTTGTTGTTGCCATCAGGTTTTATATGCAGCAATACTGACTCTGTTGGTTACTGACACAATCAGACTGCAATTCTGAATTATATTTGTTTTATCTCTTTTTGGATAGTGCATATATAAGACAAAAAGAATGAATTGGGATTGTCTAACTCTTTATCAGAATTATGCAGAAACACTCCATGTCATTTATGTGCAAAGAAAAATTAATGATTTTGTTTTGCATGCACAACATTGTGTCTATTTAGTCACCGAGGAGTGTGTTTTGGTAGTAACAAGGTTTCGGAGATTTGTTTTAGTGAGATGAAGTGTTGTTCGATGCTCTTAACTTTGACTCTTCTATTCTCCATGTATTTAATGAATATTTAGCACTGCAACTCGCCGAAGATTGAAGTTATTGAAATTTCAATCAAAGAAGACAATCAAACTCTTAGCAGTTATACTCTAAGGTCGTTGTCTGTACGAGTTTGTCCAACTTAAACCTGTGAAGGAATTTTTCAAAGTAAGCCGTTTTGGATGTATGAGTTGAAGGAGTTGTGATTTTAATGTTCCGTAATCACCACTAGAACTTCTTTTATATTGGAATCTCCTTAATATAAGTTAGTTTATAACCGAACACCTTGCCTAGTTTACTCCTTTGCAAGTATATGCTTATATTGTTGGCAGTAAGTTGTTACAACTGTGATATAATTATATTTCGAGAGTTGACCATTTTTTAAGTATTCGAATGAGTTTTGATGGAGCTCCTGTTTCCCAACAAATATATAACTAATTGTAAGAAAAATCACGTTATGATAGATGGCCTTATAAGGTTCTGATTTAAATTAGCCATTAAATTATTGTGCTGACAACATATAAAATATAAACTGTCAGTACATAAACTTAGTGAATACAATATGTATTATAATAGTTTTTATAATGTACCGTTAGTTTATATTTTAAAGATATATGTTGTTTTTATATAATATGTTGAATTCAATTCATGTTCGTGTTGCATGAACTATTATTATGCACTATTAATTCACATGAATGATGCATTTCTACCATGTTAACATATACTATATATTGTCTATTTATATTTAATGTGCTGATAGATTATATTTTATGTGTAACATCGTATTGACTATCTATTTATATTTAATGTGCTGATAAATTATATTTTATGTGTAGCATCATATTGACTAATACTCATTCAGGACTAACTCAATAAAATTAAATCTTATTATAATTTCTATTTTTAAATAATACAAACTATATATATATATATAGTTATGTAAACAATTGTATTGCACACAGTCACAATATACATGAATAAATTTAAGAAAACCCACAGCATATGAATGCAACTAATATAATTAAAAATGCATATATATATATATATATATAAAATTTTATCCTGTAAATATGCCTGACTATATATATATATATATCTTTTGTTATGAAAGCAACTGATTTTCACATCATTATAAACATACATAATTTTTTTATTAAAAAAGAAAAAACACATCACATAAATTATTTTAAACTAGAGCCCAAAAAAATATTTTATTTCTATCTGTTAGTTTTTGTCTATATATTTGATTAAAATTTCAATTCCTTAACTATGTACTGAATAACTCTATATTTTAGTTACCTAAGCTACTGACTGTTATTATAACTTATAAGATAAATAAATCATTTTAAGATCATCCACATGGGATAAAACAAATTAAAACCTCCCCAAAAACTTCATGATTATAATACTCACAACACAATTTATATTAATTTAATATAAATACAACATATGAACCAATAATATATGATGTAATTTATACTGCTACCACTGATTTTCAAGATAAAAAGAAAAAATATTAATACAAGATACAAATATGAACTGACAGAACAGGTTTTCAATTAAGCATGTGTTGTTAGGGCAAATTATGTATTGTATATCTATTTTTTATGTGTTAATTAGGATAAATCAACATAGTACCGATTTGGCGTAATAAAAAAATCATAACCAACCTCACATATATATATATATATATAGTAATGACTAAAATTGCAATTTTCTTGCCCTAATAATGTCACGTTGTTTAGTTCATCATTGAACTAAACCTATGTTAGAAATTAAACTGCTGCAGGGACTTGATTGTGTGAAACATAAATTTAATTTATTACTGAATAAAGCTGCAGATTCATCAAAGCAACGAAATCCAAGTTTCAGTAATATACATTGAAACCCCACAAAATTAATAATAATAAAACCCTATCTACACATACACTTAATTATTACAATATATATATATATAGCTTCTTAATTATTATTTTATTTATATTTTCTAATATAGTAGTTTAATAAGAACACTACATAGATTGATCATAATTTTTATTTAATATATATATTTTGTTGGGATTAATTTATTAATACCTCAAAATGATGGCCTTGGATGTGTCCAACCATAAGCATCATGATTCATGTGTCCTCCATTTCCCAATAAATTTGGGGTCAAATTGTAAATACCCAAAGATGAGGGATCTCCTATTCCATGCTGCTGCTGCTGTCCCACTCCCGGCGGCGAACCGGCGCCTCCGCCTTCTCCCGCCGCGGAGCCGCCGGGGGCTGAGCCGCCGGCGCCGCCATCCTCCTCCTCCTCCTCCAGCGGCAGCCTTTCGTAAGTTGCATTAGCGAAAGTTGCAGCAATCACCATGACAGGCCCTGCCGCCACCAGGGGGCCCACCACGCAGCCGCCGACGACCTGGCCCTGACCGCCGGCGAGGTAGACCGTCAGACCGGTGGCGCCCGGCGGGGCCGGGCCGGGCAGGAAGGCGCCGGTTAAGGAGAGGATCTCGAACCGGCCTTGGAGCACGACGGCGGCGCTGGGGGCGGCCGGCTGGCGGATGGTGACGTTGGCGACGGCGCCGCTGCCGCTCATCACGCAGACGCCGCGCTGGCGGCGGCGGGCGAAGTGGGCGATGCTCTCCGCCACGTCGGCGCCGCCGCTGACTTCCATCACGTGGCTGCGCAAGGCGTTAGGGCTGTCCCGGGTCACGAAGATCGGCGGTTTCGGCTTATTCTTCGAACCGGGCGGCCGGCCGCGCGGCCGCCGGTTCCCCACCTCTACAGCGCCTTCCCGCGGTTCGTCTCCGGTTCCGTCCTTATCATCGTCGTCCTCTCCGGCGCCGGCGCCGCTCTTATCGTTCAACGAAAGATCCATGATCTCCCGCTTGTTGCCCAGCATCGCCGCCGGTTCACCGCTGGGCAGGCCCAACTGAGCGCCGGTCCACCACCGGTTCGCCAGATTTTCAAGCTCAGATCAACCGATCCGACTCAGAGATGGAGCAAATTCAAAAGGGGTCTTAAATCTTAATGATCTCACCTCTCTTCAAACCCTAATTTTCCTTTTCCCCTAAATTACTAATTTCCAACAAAAACCCTAATTCTCAATCAAATCAAGAAACAAGAAAAACATAAAATCAGCCCACAAATATTGTCACAAGCACAAGAAGTGATTAATTAATTAAAGAGCCACTATATATGAATCTAATATATATTTTTGATTGAGTTCAAATAAACAAAAAAAAAAAGAAGAAAGATTAAAAGAAACCCTTGAGAGAGAGAGAGAGAAGGGGAGAGAGAGAATAAGGTATAATCAAGAACACACAAAGGAGAGAAGTGGGAATAAAGAAAGAGCAAATAATTAATGGTTTTTAGTACTAAAATATACTTGGAAGTTTGAACAACAAAGCAATATAATGGAAATAATAATTGTATAGCATTATAATAAATTACAATGACATCTTTTCCTATGTTTTGATAACCTAAACTATTGTTCTTTCTTTAGCAGACCCCTTTTGTCTTTAACTCTACCACTAGCTACTTGATCTCTGTATGTATACATATATATATAATGCACGTATATACATACACACCATACATCACTCTTTGCTGTTGTTTTATAATTTCAAAAAAAAAAAAAGAGAAATATCTTCACTAATTTTATATTAGGGTTTGGAATTGTGGGGTCAATTGCAAGCTGGTCATTAGAGATGACCAATTTTGTTAATACATTATTTTTCAACATCTCGATCAGCTTGAAATGTTTGTATATAATATTTTGAAATATATTATATACATATACATATATATTATATACATATATATATATATTTTTTTTGTCGTGGTCTTAGCTTGTGGTTCGAAGGGGTGGGCACCGTTCATATATTTGTAAGTATTAGAATTTTTATATTTAATTGAAGAGAGAATTAATACATTAATGAAATCGTATGTAAGAAGATAAAATATATATATTAAATATGTGCTGAATATCAATAGATTTATACTAATATTCGGCGCACAGTTTCCTCATTTGATTAGAAAATTTTATATTAAAATTCAAAATTTTTAAATATATTTTTCTTTTTATATATAAAAGTTTTTAGTAAATTTATACAGTATGTTTCTTTTGATAGATTTAGGAAATATTTGTTTTGAATTTAATATTAAAAAAATATATAATACTATGTTTTATGAGAGAAAAATATATATATTTTTAAAAAAAATAAAAAGTTCAAATATTAGAAATCTAAATTTAGAGGCAAAAGAAACAAACCCTTAATATATTTACATAATGATTCAATATATATATATATATATATGTGTGTGTAATATGATGGTTTATAATATCATTGGAAAACTTTTTTGTGTAGTTCAACATAATTAATTTTCAATAATCACTCAACAACACAATTCTAAAACAAACTCATCCACTCCCTTTAGGGAAAAGGCCAAATAGAAATAATACTTTCAAATATATATATAATAATTCCAAATTTTAAATATAATGATTTTGGGTTTGGTATGAGTTTTAAAAAAATTTCAGCCTAGATTGATTTTTTTAAAATAATATTTGATATAATATTTTGCAAAGAAAAAAATAAAAATAAAATTTATACAAATAGTAAAAAAATCAAATAAAAATTTAAAAGAAACACACATTTCCTCAACAAAAAAATTAATTCAAAACTCTATAAAAGTCCCTAATTAAACACACATACAAACCCTAAAAGTTTAGAAGAAAATTATTACACCCCAACTCAAGGTATAAAAGTGTCATATGATATAGTCTGTTCAAGGTTTTTTGTTTGGTTGTCTTTCTACATCTTATGTTTATTATACATTTTTTTATAAAAAAAAAAAATCCTCAAAAAAATCATAGTATTATATATTTATTTTAATTACTATATTATGAACAAAATTTATTTTTTATATAAAACATCACATTTTAATATTTCCAAAACACAATCAAACAAACCCATACTTTTCGAAACAGCCCCGGTCATGTACCATTAACAATGATATCAATTATGTCTAAAGTCCGGTTCAAACTCCAATGTCTTCAGGTCATGTCTGTCATACATGGTTCGCTTAATGTGACTTGTCTTGTTGGGTCTAGTTTGTAAACTATTAGATTCGATCCCGGAGCATATTCGAAGGATAGCGGCTGCGAATTTCCACATTATAAAAAAAAAAAAATGATGTTAATTGTATGGATTTAAAATTGTGCATATGGGTGACATGAATAATTTTATCAATTTGATAAACTAATTTCAAACTTTTGTTATTTTAAAAATATATATATCAATTTTTTAGGGTGTGTTTCTTTAGGAGGTTTTGGGGAAATTTGGGTTTAGTTTTTATTTGAATTTTGAAGTAATTTTGAATTTATGTGTTTCTTTTGTGTTTGGGTTTGAGTTGGATTTAAAGAGTTTTGATGTGTATTGTTTTGATGATAATAAATATAATAATATAAATGTGTATTAATTTGATTATAAATTTATTTTTTATCTATATATATTTATAAATTTTTATTTATTTGTATTATAAAAAAATTTATTCTTTACAAATGACATATAAATTATATATTTTTATTCAATTATAATTGTTATAATTTTTTTATTTATAATTTTAAAAAATTAAAAACTAAAAAAAAATAACAGACCCTGTCAGGTCGTTTCCCCCAAAACCCGGCAGCCCAAGTTTGGACAGAAACAATATGCAAATATCTGCACAGTGTTTCTGCCCAAACTTGAGCCGCGGAGACACACTATGAAATTTTGGATATTTGGTTAAAGAAAAAAATATTTATCAATTTTAAAATAATTTCAAATTTATGGAGAGTAAGTTGACAAAGAAATAGAGGTTACCTAATAGGTGATAAAAATAGGTTAGGGTTTTCAAAATGACCCGTAGAAAAGAATTTAGAATTTACTTTTAAACTTATCATTTAAATCTCATAGGTAAGAATAGATTGCAAATTAAGTCCCATAAAGTAAATCATAACTAAGCAAATTATGTGTAATTATCCTAATAGTCTGCAAACAAAGCAGTGAATCATGTGTAGCTATCCTAATAACCTTCAAACAAGGCAAGACAAGTCATACTAGTCCGATAAAGCAAGTCATACTAGTCCGATAAGGCAAGTCATATTAAGCAAATCATGTGTAATTAACCTAATAGTCTGCAAATTAATTAGGAGACCCAGATGCACCATCAGATCATCCCTTGCTGAACTTGTTTTAATTCTTTGTTGATCGTGTGAACTGATGTGTTATCATTGATTACATGTTTGGCATCTCAATCCGGATAAATTAAGTCCTTATTCATGGATAATGTTAGCTCCGATTATTCCATATCAGCTCATTCATGTGATTGATATTAGGAGTTGTCTAATACGGTATACCGAAAATTTTACGCATTACCGTATACCGTATCGTAAATATCAGTATGAGAGAATGTCATATTTATGTCCTACCGAACCATTTGGTATACCTTAAATGGGTATGCTATGAATTATGGTGTAAAAGTTTTCATATTGATACCGTACGAAATTATTATATCAATATAACGAAATTAATGATATACTGCAAAATTATAGAAATAATGCAAAATTTAATGTGTATACTTTTTAGCTGGACGGATGGAGTAAAATTTTAATAACAGAAAATTAATATATTAGGGTTGGCCCCTGAGTCCTATTGTTCATCCTTTTTAAAAAAATATACTCCCTACGTCTCATATCTATATATTCATTTATTTTTTACACGGAGTTTTAGAAATATTAGTATTATATTGGGATAAAATATAAATAAAGGTAAAAAGACTAAATAATCCTATTAGTATTGTGTGATATAAATGTAATGACATTTGTGTAATATATTGTAAATTGGAGGGGTATTTGTAATATTAGGCAGACAGTACAATTACTTAAAAAAAAAAATGAATAGTTTGTTATGGGACGGACCAAAAAAAAAAAAATAGATAGATTGTTAAGAGACGGATGAAGTATATAGATATTAAAATAAATATTAAATATTAATTTTTATATTTTTATATTTAATAAAAAATTATTGTTCAAAACACAGATAAACTATTTATACGATTCAAAAATTTTTTATTGTCAACTCTGTGTTAAAACACCAAATTATGAAACTAATCTTCAATATATTTCAAATACAAGGCAAAAATATCAAATTACTTGATTTATTTATCCAATAAATTTTTATTGCAATGATTCTTGATAAATACTCCCTCCATCCAGATAGAAAGTCACTACCAAAAAAAGGTCTTTTCGTAACGGTCAAATATTCGTAACTAAAACCTATTTTTCGTGCAAAAAAGCTTTTTGTGTCAACTTTGTTACGGATTATGACCGCTACGAAAAATCGCGGTACAAAAAGTTCGTGTTGCAACAAAATCCATAACAAATATTTGATGGTCAACTCTCAAAATAAGCACGTGTTAATTATATTTGTTACGTTTTTTGGTATGTAACAAAAACATCAATCATGTTTTTGAATCAACAAATATCCGACACAAATAATGCGGAACAAAAGTTGAATACTGTTAGAGAAATATTTGTTACGACATATGTCCGAATCAACAAATGCGTTACAAATGTCTAATCTTGTCAGAAAATTTCTTGTTACAAGATTTGTCCGTAACAACAATACATTACAAAAGGACTGCTCCCTAACAAATAAGTTGTTTGTTACGAAATTACTCCGCAACAAAAAGTCATGACAAAAGTCAGGCAACCATACATTACCATTTGTACCGGCCACTGTCCGTAACTAAAAATACGCTACAAAAGACGTCCCTGTGTGGCATAGTAGTTTTGTCGCCATAAATAAATTCTATTTGTCTGTATTATTAATCTGCGAGACAAATAATTTAAAACTTAATCTTATCATAATTGTTTCCAAATCCATCAAAATAGTACACATGGTCATCAATACAATGATGTTCATAGTCCAACCAAAAATACAATATTAGTCGTCAACGGTGCTAACAAAACATCCCAACAAAACACCAATCCGTACACCACATAACAACCTACTAAATAGCGATACGAAAAACCAAAAAGTAATACATAAATCGATAAATCTAATATCATACGGAAGTATGATCTTAAGGGCAACTCATAAACACTACTATGAATGACCCAGCTAGTCGAGTGCAGACTCATGGAGGCTGCAATCACGGGCGGCGAACCAACTGCAATGTGTTTTTAATAATATATAAGCATTTAATAAAGAAATTGAAGTAATTTAATTTCCAAAAGATTAAAGTAAATAAAAAATTGCGTACATCCTGGTAAATCTACTCGATATTATCTCCGTTGAGTACATCACCGAGAATTTTCGCTCCAGCATTAGTTGGGAGGATAAGTGTGATCTCCGGGACCATTACAGCTGTAACATACACCTTAACAATGGTTAGGGTATCACCTATATAAATAGGTTAAACGAGCGCTAGTTACGAGGAATGTCTCCGTCTGTAAACATTATGGATGAACATAATAAAATAAAACTTATGTTTTAGCTTTGATCTAGGGACCCTATCTTAAATACAAGTATAGTAACAAATAAACTCAAAAAGCACTAATAAAATAGGCTGACCCCTGAACATTATGAAAATAAATAAGACAACATGGACTATAGGGGCCAACTCCCCTTACACATATACTAATATTTATAAATCACCATGATCATAGATCGGCAATCCTTCAGTAGAAGAAACGAACATAGCTCTCCAATAGCAACAAATTAACCACCAATCAAGCCCTACAAATAACGTTCGACCATACAACTACCTTCAACCCAAATAGACATGCCCTAGAACAATATAACCAGATGCTAGATATAACAATCTTACACAGGATCCATTTTATGTCTATTTCACGTTGTACAACTACACAATCAGAATTCATAAAACACAATAATCACTTTGAAAATAAAAACTCGGTTTGAAAATGGATGAGAATATGCTATATAAAATCATGCAAAACTAGCAATAGAAAGTACATAATAAGAAGATGGTTCTCAGTTTATGGATGGGATCGTTCAAAACTCGGATAAGAATTCAATACTCTATAAACAACCTAACAAATATAATCGACTAATACAACTGTCGGTCGTAGCTTTCAAATCTTAAAGTGTCAATATAACAAATGTTGTGTAAGTAAAATCGCATTCACTTCTTCCAAAATCCATACTACAATCCCTTAAATGTATTATACATCAAGAGAAAAACGTTGAAAGTTTGAAGAAGTTACATTTCAAAACATAAGTTTGATTTTCACCAACATATCTAAAATAAAAGATAGCATATTTTGGCAAGATCTAAACTGGATAGTAAGAGATTATAACTCCCAATACTATGTTTGGCCATAAAAATGTATATAAAATACATGAAAGCTTGAATATGCTCAATTTTAGAAGTACGGCATAATGTAGACAATTATGACAGTCATGGCAGAATAATGTTGCTCTCCTGTGAGAATAGGGAACACAACTGTGCATCTATAATTTGTTCCGCCATTTCGCAATCTTTTGCTGTCAATATCACATCACAGTTTTTTGTGTTAACTTATTTTGTCCAAAAACATCTCACCCAACAATATTTTCATATTTTCAAATAAAAAACGTTAAACGCACACAAAGGAAAAGAAAAAGAAAACCTCTGTGGTTTGACTTCTTTTTTTTTTCCATTCCATTTACATATTTCCAGCATTCAACAAGTAGATTCAAAAAGAATACTGGGAATGCAATATCAGGATAATTAAGGTCGTCCCAGGGAAATAAAATAGCGAAAAAGAAAGCCTTATGGGAATAAAAAGTAGAAACTCAATAATGAGAATATTACCTTAATAACAATATTATTTGCTACAACCCCAATCAAGAAAGGGCCAGCCGGGCAGAGCAAACCACAGAAGGAGAAAAGGTCTGCTTACCAAAATGTTAACATCATTGTTAGAAATTGGAAATAGGAAAATGTAAGATTTGCAACAGAACAGTCTATTGTAATAACCATGGAGTAATAAAGGCTTAGTGTTGTTAACCAACATAGTGTGTATATATATATATATATCACCAACAACAATATATATACATAATCCACATAGCCAAAGAAAAAATCATTATTTCAAAGTGATTGAAGACTGGTACACATAGATTAAGATTGAATGAAGTAGGTGGAAAAAAGAAAAAGAACAATAAATGTAACAACAACCAGACTCGGGACAAAAGTAAATGGAAGACTGAAAGTAAAACAAAATCTGCAGAAAAAATTGGTTAAAGGGGGAAGTGTCAAAACGGTTTCTCGTCTTCTATTTTTCTTTCACTTTCAGAAGAAACTCAAAGACGACTTATCCATCATCGACTCTCGAGCTTAAGGTTTTTAGTATTTCCTATACAAACCGGAGAGTCATGACACATATGCCATGCCTAAAGACATCATTTTAAACAACACAAGATGCAATGTTTTGTAAACTTCATTTTATGAAAACAGAGTTGATAAAACTAAAAGAACAATAAATTAGAATCTCCAGTCACATAATACATTACCTAATATACGATCTTCAAACAGTTATAAGTCCACCTCTGCAGCACCTCGTTGTTCAATAACTTAATCCTACAAATGAAAGTTGACGAAATGAGTATTATTTAACCATGAAAAAATCAATTTCAGAAAACACATCCATACTGGGTATTTACCCAAGACAAATTGTAAAACAAAGCTTGTTATTTACCCAGTAAAAATATGAAATAATTTGTACAAGAAGATTATCCAAAACCCTAGAACATTAAAGAAACTAAAAATCAATTTTCACAGCTTCAAAATAGAATGCCCTAGGTTTTAACTCACTGTTCAATTTCGTGAGAACTATAATGCGGCGAGGAAGATTTACGATGTCCATAACTCAGAGAACACGAGCGTCAAACCAGCGACGGTAGATCGGAGTGAAGTGTAGAGAAGATCTTCTTGTTGTGTGTTGATCGGGAGGCGATTTGGGGGAAAAGGAAAATGAGAGCGTCTGTATGTATGAAATTGTACAGAAATGGGAAAGTGTTAATATATGTTGGGAAAGAAGAGAAAGTATTAACACGCTTTTTATTATTATTCTTTTTAAAATATTATATATTTTAAAAATATTTTTTAAATATATTTTTTAAGTGGTTAATATATGTTGAGAAAATGAAGAAAGTGTTAACACGATTTCTATTCTTGATTACTTTTTAATTATTATTTTTTAAAAATAATTTTATATAGATTGTTTTTTTTAAAAATATTTATAATTATAATATTGATTTTTTGTTACGGTTTTATATACATAACAAATAGATACAGGACCCCATGTCGTTATAATTGTAGTTTTTGCAGATAAACTATCGAAACAATTAAAAATTATTTTTTAATTATTATTTTTTTGATTGAATTTTATATAGATTTCTTAAAAAATATTATTTATTATTTTACTATTGACTTTTTATTACGGTTTGGTATACGTAACAAATACATAGATACCAAATCTTGTTACAATTGTAGTTGTTGTTACAATTGTAGTTGTTACGGATAAACGATCGAAACAAATAAAATAAATATGTTGACCAGCCCAATTTTTTTTTGTTCCGACAAAAATTGTAACAAAAAAAACTTTTTGTGACAGAACTATTGTTACGAACAATACATCAGCTACAAATGGTTGATTTTTTGGTAGTGAGTATACACATTTCTATTTTGGAACGTCCAATTATAAAGTAAATATTTCATTAAATACCTCACTTTTTTCCACAAACACCCTTACTTTACATCACATCATTACTTTTATACCAAAAAGCAAGGGCAAAAATATCATTACACTACTTTTAACTACCCACTATAATTAAAATATTATTTTTTTTAAACACCGAGCCAAAAGTAAATGTATACTTTATCCTTGGACGAAGAGAGTATTACGAAAAATACAATATATTTTAATACAATATATAATATAGGAGTATATTTATCAACTCACAAAAAACATGTAATTTAACATAATTTTTTTTTTATATTACAAACATAATTCATCATATATATATATATATATAACATAATTTTCTTTTTAAAAAAAAAAAAACGCATTCATTCGAAAACTCGAAACTAGCGGATTACATGTGAACAACTAAAATCATAATGCTTCCATATTATTTTGGTAATTTAAATTTATATTATATTAATATATTGTTTTAAATTAAGTTTACTTTTACTATTAAAAAATGATAATATACTATTTTCAGTTTATTTTAGTGATTATTATTCATAAAACAATTGAATTTATAGACTTCAAGGTATACATCATAGCATTTGTTTTTACATACATTTTTAAATATAATACTCTATCCGTTTGGAGTGTTTATGCCATTTTAATTAATATTTTAATATAAATATATGGAATATAAAAAGTAAAATAGATATTATCAAACTTCTATTTAAAAAAAAAAAACTGATAAAATAAATAAAAGAATTATGACAATTTTATTATTATTTATTAAAATAAAAATAATAAAATTATGAATGAGTTACTGCGACAGTAAAACTGATAATTATAGTACCTTTTGTGCCGATAAATTAGTCAAATTTGTAACATGCATACGAAACTCATTTTTCTTCTTACGTGTTTAAAGCATGTACAATAGCTCATAAGTCCTTCTAATTTTATAAGATGTTTTTTTCACCAATAAAAAAAATTTATCCGTAGTAATGTAAATTTTAATTGAAAATTAATTGTGTTCAAATGAAATTTCTTTTTCACCCATAAAAAAAAAAAAAAAATTAATCCACACTAATGTAAATTTTGATTGAAAATCGATTGTGTCTCAGTGCAATCGAGACACAATTAATGGTGCCTTACTCTCTTTCTCTTTTACTTCTCTTCTCTCTCTCCATTTGCGCTCTCGCCATTTCTTCTTCTCTGAACCCATCCCGGCCGTCACCGCCGACCGCTCTCTTCCTTCTCTCCTTTCACCGCGATGTCCCTCACATTTCAATCAAGGACGGATCTACCTTGGGGCTTGGGGGTGAGTTGACCCCCAAACCCCAAATTATATATAACTTTTTTAATGAAATAATAGAAAAAAAATTATATATTTTGCTAAAATGCCTCCCTTATTCAAGCAATTATTTATGTTCTTTCTTATTTTTTTCTTCATCTTTTTTTCTTTAGTTTTGTTGTTTTTCACTTTGATGATGTTGCCTCAAGAGGAATTTAAAATAATAGTATAGTATCGGAAGTAAACCGACATATTGCCCCCAGCTTTCGAATACTGTTCCATCACTGATTCCAACCAGCGGGCCGGCGCTCTCGCACTTTCCGACGATCTGACAAGATTTGATTTGAAAAAAAAAAAAGGAGAGAGAGATAGCCAACAACTATTTATCGGAGATTGATTAGAGAAAGCTTCTCTATATTTATGCATAATAATTTTTTTTTATCAATATGTAATGTTATTAATTACACATACTTAAAAAATAATTATTATTTAGCTCAACTTAGTTTTTACTCACTTCTCTTTTATATGATATACTTATTGTCCCATAAGAGGAGTAGTATTTGTTTTTTTTAAGTAGATTTTTTAATATTAATATTATATTAGTTTGTAGTCAAAATGATAAAAATATCTTTATTAATATTATGTAGTATAAAAGTAATGATATTTGTATAATATATATGTATTATATGTGTTAAAATTTTTTCACTATTTAAAATTAGGTGTGAACAACATATCTGAAATCCAAAAATTAGATTAGAACTACATCGAAATTTAAAATTTGATTTGGATTTTTTCGAATTTTCAAATTTGTTCGGATTGAATATTAATTTTATAAATTTTAAATTTTTAGATCAGTTCAAATCGATATACTAAAAATTTGAACCAATTCGAAATTTGAAATAATATTTACTTTAATATTTATATATTTAATTATATTTCAATATAGTTATTTTTAGTTATTATATATATTTAATAAGTTTTAGTTATTTGTCAACCATTTATGCTTTTATTTGTCCAATTTTATTTGTCATTTTTTTAGAAAAAAAATAATTATATACTTTAATTGCATTTTAAATTTCATATTTAGTAATTTTTAATCTTAATTAAATTAATTGTTATCTTAATCTTAATTTATAATATTTATATTATATAAAAATTATTTTTATTAATACATTTCTTAATTATTTACGAATTATATTATAACTAAATTTTCGTATCTATGATAAATTAAATATATAATGTGAGAAGGAAGGAGTATAAAACAATTATAAAAACTAAACTTGTAAAATTTAAAAATAATAATTAGAATTTTTTGTTTTCTGGTTTGGTTCGAATTTTTTTATTCGAATTTTGATTCGATTCGAATTAATTTTTTCAAAAAAATTGGAGTTTTGAATCAGGTCAAATTTTGTCAAAATCTAAAATGAAATCTAAAAGCTCACACCTTCGAATCTCTCCTCTTTCCTCTTCTTCTATTATCTCTTTTCATTAATGAATTTGTAATAGCGATTTTTTTTAAAGTTTTTGTGAGGTTTTTTAACGTACTTGGGAGATATATTTTCTTTATATCATGTTAAGTATTAATTTTATCATTTTTTATTTGTTTTATTTAAAAGTATTCATTATTTATCATAGTAAAAATAAAATACATTAATAATAAAATATAATTTTTATATAAATTATAAATATACCGTTACATATATAATTATTTTATACATAAAGTACAAAATAAAAAAATATTAAAATTATCTTACATATTTGATAACAGATATTTGATTTATATTGCAATTTGCATACGGATTCACAGGGAATTTTTATTCGAAAATCAATGAATAGAATTTTATAGGGAAACGATCAGATATAGCAATTTTGTGTGGTTGTAAACCCTGAGTAGTTATCACAATTATTTATACTCTTTTTACTGGTGAGTTTCCAGGTCGAACACAAGGATTTTAAGTCATGAATTTCAATGGTGAAAATCTTGGAGAAAGCGACTAAGGATACAAGAAAGGATCCGCTTGGAGCGGGCCTGAATTTTAACTACTGAAAGCGATAAATAAAGCAATAAAGATGAGGTGAGCGGAGATGAGCAAAGCGAAAGCGAGGGGGTGGAGTGCCAGTGGTAACCAGATGATCGGGACACGAGCGAAAGTGGGGACCAGATGATCGGGGCATGGATGAATCGCGGTAACCAGAGGATCGGGGTGTGAGTGAGCGGCATATTTTGTATATATATGTAAATGAGCGAATTAGAGTGAAGGAGAGGTGTTGTGTCTGATCTGTGCGTTACTAAATGGATAGATTTCCCTGGATGTAGTGAGCGAATGATGTAAGTGTGTTATCGGAAGAATATATGTATATTATGAAAATGATGAGAGAAAGATGCTGTAATTATATAAACTGGATTGTAAAGAACTCATCACGCTGGTATTTTTGGCCTGGGGGGATTTACAACAAGACTTCAATGACACCCAGAATTAAGACATTATAAGAAAGAAACCCTACTGTCACTAGGAATTTTTGCGACCTAATAGACCCCCGTCTATGTCCCGTTAATTTTCCCAATTTCAGCCTCATTAGTGGCTTTACCCCCTGATGTTACTACTATTTCATCATAACCGAATTTGGCACAGCAGTTAAGCAGGTCGACAAGGCTCCCGCGTACGTAACTACATTGAACTACCTTGAAACTGCTTTTGGCGCATAACAAGGCTTAGATAATCAATTCTTCTCTCGCTCTATACCAGTAATATGAAATTCTCTAAACTTGATTTATATAAGTATGGAAATTGTGAAAGAATTTAATTTGAAGAAGTGAATGATATTTCTTTATATACTATGAAAGCGTGAAAGATTAGACTACAAAGCTGTAAATGAAAGTAGTAATCTAATCTAAGAAAGCAGTAAAGACGTGACCAAGGGAGAGGGAAGACCCCTACTCCCTTGGCCTTTCCTGTGGACAACTCCCTTACAGGGTTGGAGCTCTCGGAAAC